TAGTTATTTATTAGGGATTATTTTAATAAACTATTTGGTTGTAATTAAAAGAGAGAGGTGTATTTAGTGTATGGTTGACTATGTTATGTGTTTTAGTTGACTTTATCTAGTTATGATGTTTGTTAATTATTATCTTGTGAATTCCACTGTTTGAGGGACGGATTTGAATGTGTTACAGGGATGAATTTGAATGGGTTACAAAATAATATGTTTTCGAGAGTAAAGTTGAGAATATGTGGGTCTTGCCTATTGGCGGTATGCAAGTAATGATAAGACAGGTTGTTATGGAGTCGTCTCGTTCTACCAAGTAAATTATGCGTTGACTCTTTCTACCGTGCGCTGTGGGAAAGATGTTCTCTTCAACCGTGCAATGCGGGAAGATGATGAGTTCGAGTGCTGATGACTCTTTCAGCCATGTGATGCGGGAAAAAAATAGTTCAAGTGTCATATGTTCTCAATTGTGCGGTGCAATGTAGTGTGTGATATGTTGTCGTTGAAGTTATCAAATTAATACTATTTTTCAAGGCAACTTCAGTATTGTCAAGTCAGTAGTCAAGAAAGTAGATAGGGTTAAAGTAACCCTGAGTCGTCTCCCCACGAATACGAAATTGTTTTTCAATATTTGAATCTTATGAATGTTATGCAATGATCAAGAATGAAAGTGAAAAACTATGCTACTGGAATTAATGTTTGAAGAATGTTTGAAGAACAAAGAGGAAACTTAGAAACAATTACGATGAAATAGGCTAATTCCACTGTTTTTCCAAGATAGATTCATCATCGGTTATCCAAAAATCATTGTTCAATTGATTATTGTTCAAGTTTCAAATGAATTAAAGTAAATTCTTAATTAATTTGAGGGCGATCATGTAGTTAACCAAAGTAGATTTTCAATCAAATGCAAGATCTTTCTAGATTATTCACAATAAATTCAACTAAAGTACATTCTCAGTCAAATTGTATTGTGTTTAATCATGTCTATTCTTAAATCTCCTAACCAAATTAAAAGTTAATTAATCAAAGTAAATTCTCAATTAATTGTAGTTGAAATTATTACCACCAATCAAAGTACATTCTCAATTGATAGCAAAAACGTGTTTAATCATATGAAAGTTCCTAAATTCAATTAAAGTAGATTCTCAATCAAACCTAGAAACCTTTGAACTCATATGATTAATATGCATGTAGATTCAAACACCTTATGATGCAAAAATCATTGCTTTTAATATGATTGAGAGACGAAAGACATAGAAAGAAAACAACTCAAATCAATAATCAAAAGAAACAATTGCATTAATTCAACTTAACCTCATAATCCATAATGATTTTATAGTGGAATAGCCCTAAAAGCTTAGCATTCCATGAATGAAATGAAACACATGATGAAATAAAAGAGAGAGGAGTGGTGGATGTTTGCTTCCAATGGAGGAGTCTGAGAATGAATGAGTTGTGATTTCTGCCTCCCCTAGGTCTCTTTATATAGGCTTGGTTGGGCTTGGACTCTGAATCTTCTGTTGATAAGATCTTTTATCTTATATCTAATATCTTCCAAATATTCAACAAATTTAATTTGTTTTTGAGAATATTTGATAATATTTTTTTTAGATTCAAAAAGATTTTGCAAATATTATCTTTTGATATTTATTGATATAGTTAAATAAGGTAATTATTTAANTAGCAAATATTATCTTTTGATATTTATTGATATAGTTAAATAAGGTAATTATTTAACAATATCAAATAAAATATCTTAAGATATATTTTCTCCAAATTATCTTTTAAAATAAACCTGTCCAAAATTACATTTCAACCCTTTTTATTTTATTTAAAATTACACAAAAGTCTAGAATTTTCCTCTAATTGCACTTTAGCTATTTCTTTCTTTTCAAAATTGCATAGGAGCCCTCAGTTGACCAGATTGGATTCGCTTTGACCATTCAATTTCTAGCTTTAAATGAATACAATTATAACTTCAGTTGCACAAATAAACATTAGAACATCCAAAATAATTTATGCAACTAAGAATCACATTTTAAGCATCTTTAATTCTTAAACCCAATAAATTCAATCGTCACAAATTCTCACCCTTGTGTGTTTGTGCGATGATCGTATAACTCGTGTTGTTATATGGGAGCAAATATAATATGGATGCAGAATAGCGTGACGAGTTGACTGAGAGTTAAGGAACTTTACATTTTATTTTTGAATAAACTATTTTATTTGAAGTTTTATTCTGTAATAAATTAGCACAATGATTTATTTTTGGTTAATTATAAACATTTGTTGATTTTGGACTTTCGTAATGGATTTTGATTTTAAAGTTTTAAATTTTTTTCTGGTAATCGTGGCATCCCAAAATGGGGTGTTACAATTACATTATCAGAAAGAAGATGACAACAATAAAAAAAACCCAAAACAAAGTCCAATCTAATTTCTATATAAAGAGACTTAGGAAAACACATTAATGAAGCGTATGAACCCTTTGGGGAACCTAATTTCGTCCTCTCCATCATCTTATTTTCTTATATTTTTATGTTATTTCTACATTCCATGGAATGTTAAGCCTTTGAAGTTGATTCTATTGTAATTACTTAATTGGATTTTGAGGTTAGATGAATAAATTTGTCTGTGTTGTGATTTATATTTTTCTATATCCTTTGTCTCTTAATAAAGTAAAGGTAATAATTTTTACGTTGTGGCAAGTTAGTATGGTGTTAAATCTACATAACATATCAATCATATAAGTCTCAGGTCTTTTAATTTTAATTGAAAATTTACTTTTAATAAAGTTAGAAACTTTTATGTGATTAAATGAGTTTTTGTCAATAACTGAGAATGTACTTTTTTAAAAGTTAAAACTTTAACAAAAATTAATGAATAATGAATGTACTTTGGTTAATTAACTTTTTACTTTATAGAAGAGGTAAAGGAACATACATGATTAGACATAATAATATTTGATTGAGAACGTAATTTGGTTAAATTTACTATGATTAATCTACAAAGTTCTTGCCTTTAATTGAGAATGTACTTTTGTTGATAGTGAGAATGCCAATAAATTAATTGAGAATTTACATTAATTAATTTGAAAATCTAAGATAATAATTAATTGGACAATAATCTTTAAATAATCAATGATGAATCCTATTTTGAAAAAGCATTGAAATCAACATATTTTCCTTATTTTTATTTTTATCTTTTCAATTCCATTTCTTTTTATCGCTATTATTTTGTTATTTAATCTTCTATTTATTTTATATATCTTTATTTTTTTATATTATCATTATTTTGTTTGAATAACCCTTTTATATAATTGTTATAAGAATTAATTTGTTAGGAATCAATTATGTGTTCGTTAGAAGACAACTTATGGCTGACTTTACTTTTTCTATTTTATTGGCTACTATATTAGAATTACTAGCATTAATTTGATCACGTCAATAACAATGTTATCAACACGTGAGACCTTGTTAGCTTTCAGATGTATATGAGGAGTGTTGCATCCAACATAGATGAGATTATGCGATAAGGGCTTATTTGCTGTATGAGGAAACTTACATTTATTTGTTTGTTTTATTGTATGATGAATGTGGGTATTCTTGATTTTCTTAAGGGGTATGGGGAAACTTACCATTGTTTGATGTATGCTATGTACTATTGGTTTACTTGAATGAAAATACTTGTTTCATATATGATTATATGATTATGATTATATGTTGTCATTGTTGGGCAAAGGTTTGTGTCTGCATGGGAATATGTTTTTGGTAATATTTGTGATGGTTTTTTCCTATGAATATGTATTATGTATGTTTTGTTGGGTTATCCCAATAGAGGGTTTGATGCTAAGGGAGAACAAAGTTATGATGCTTAGGGGTTTTCCATGCAAATAGATGTTGTAAGGTGTAATAATAATCATTTGCATTATAATTAGGTTTATTGGGGATATAACATGTCAATGATTGGTTTTGGATGATTCAAGTGATGTATTATATTTGTTTGAGTATGTTTATATGGTTATGTGATGCTTGAATGCATGTATCATGTGTCAAGTATGTTTTCACGTGATCTAGGGTTGATGTATATATGTATGAATTATGTCTAGGATATGTTCGATTCGACAATAATGGATTATTTGCGCAATTGTTTTTAGTTTGGTTTCGGGAATAATCGATTATCTAGGATGATAATCGATTATTTGAGATGATAATCGATTATCACAGTGTATTTTTATGAAAAATGGCAAATTTGATGAAGAAGGAACGTTGTCTAAGTTTAAGGAGTTGTGGAACGTGAGGGTACTCAGAGTATGAGATTAATAAATATATTTAGGGTCAGGATTGACTTGTGGTTGAAATTGGAGCATGAGTGAGTGTTTGGATGTACCTTAATATGTGATTGATAAACATGAGAGTGAAGCATAAGTACGTGGAACATAAGTATGTGGTTGAAGACTGTTTGTGTGTTGGAGGAGTTTTATGGTGTTTTAGTTCATGGATTCTTTAGGGTTTAAATTTCCCATGAATGGTGTAACGTTAAAGTCGATGTGTGTATATGTGTTTTTTTGTTATTTACGAGATGGTTTGATGAGGATGATGATCGTGGTGGTACTCGAGAATGGTTCGTGAAGTGGTTCTCAATTTAGACTTGTAGTGGATATTAACATTACACATTATGAGAGATGTAAGTGTGATTTATATTTTGGACAAAGATGGCACGTTGGGGAAAATGCATGATGATCGAGTATGGTAGTTAGAGTTTCTCTTATGTATTGAAAGGTTAAAAATAATGATATGATAAGAAAAATTCAAACCATTCATTCAAACACGACCATTTATATAATTTGTCATTAACTATTTCATGATAAAAAAATAATAAAATTAAACATAAATTACTAAAATTAAATAAGAATATCTAATAAAAAATTAGTCCCACCTTGAACAAAATCTTTAAGGATTATGAAAAAAACTCGTGGTTTTTCATTAACACTATTTTTATGTTTTTCTTTTTGTTTCACTTGTTCTTAGTTTTTGGTTCATAGCGTAAGTGCTACTCTCTCTCTACAGCACCACGAAGCGAATCTTCACCAAGTCAGCAGCGACGCTCCTCTCAACGGCGGTCCCAGCCAGTGGCGCGACCCTCCCATCGGCGGCGGTTCACAACCAGCGGCGCTCCTAAAGCGGTGGTTCCCAACAGCGGCGCAACCCTAGCAGTAGCTGCGATCCTCCCCAGCCAGTGGCGCGACGCCTCCTCCCTCCCTGTCTTCCAGCCAGTTGAAGGGTTTGTTTTTTCTTTATGAATTTTGCACGTTTCTTTATGATCCAAGAGTATGGATTTAGGTTTTTGAGGGAAATGGTTTACCTGATCTTGCAAACCTTTTGGGTTGTTAGCATCTGATTGCCACCAAAGTAATCCTAAGATGACTGCGTTGGAAAAACTTGGCTAATTCTCAACCAGCTAAAGTAGTGATGCTTCCCCTCTTTGAATCCTCTTGAAAACAGTAAAGAAAATTGCTCAAATCAACTTGGCCCTCACCGACTTTTACAAGATTCAATTTTAGACATCAGTTCTTCATCAAGAGGGAGAAGAATATACAGCCCACATTTCCAAAGTGGCAGCCGGGCCCGCCGCATTGCCATCCCTAACCAAACATCGAAGTGAAATCCCACACTGCTTTTGTTATAAACCCCGCGTTGTCTTTTTATGTTTACTAAAATTATAAAAATATCGTAGCCTTTTCTTTGTTAAAAAGGATTGTTTTTCCCATTTTCTTCTCTCGTCAAATTTACTGCTTTTTTTTTTTAACTTTTTTTCTTAATTATACTCTTTATTATGAATTTTTATGTTTAAGATTTTGAAGTTTGATACTTAATCCTTCGAGCTAAAATTGAGCGGATTGAGTATTTTTCTGCTCGCACATTTATGTTCCAGCCTTCTTGTTTTGTGCAATTCTCGTTCTTTTTTCATCCTTTGTTGAAAGGTAGAACATTTAATGTTGGATCAATCTTTAATGGGGTTCCTCTTCTAAACGGGTTTGCTTCACTCTGCAGTTGCGCTGTGATTGTGCACCGTTTTCTGGTTTCTCTTTGGCTGAGTTTCACTCATCTCTGAAGAAATATGGCTGCCAATTTCTGGACATCATCTCATTAGTATGTTTCATCTCCTCCCCAAGATTCCTTCTTTCTCTGTGTGTGCATCTGTGTTGTAATTTGGTATTCTTGGGGTTATGAACCTTGCAGCAAGCATCTTCTGGACCAGGAAGATGTGGATATGGTGAATACACTTGACAAGGAAAAGGGTATCACACTGGAGGATTTTAAGCTCATTAAGATGCATATGGCCAGCTGTATGATCTCTTTTTTTAAGTCTTTCTTCAATCTCTATCATACATGTATTTATTCCCCTCATGCCACAACACTTTTTTTTCTCTAACCTTTTGCTTCTGGCTATTGCTTATGACTATCGTTCTTTTACTTGTTGATATGGTGTCTGATTCTGAATTTCTAGTTGCTGCCGTCATCCTTAGTTTTGAGTGCTAGGGTTTGGTTTCAGAGGGAATTTCTGAGGATGCTTTTATGTATTTTTTTTTCTGCATGCTCTTGTATATACAATGTTCTGAAAGATTTTTATAAAAAGTAAATCATCAGGGCTATCGTTATTGATATCCTATATTAGCTATAGAAGTGTTTGATTTTTGTTATTTATCTGTGCTGAATTTCTTCTTTTTCCTTTCTTGCTTGAGCAGATATTTTGAAATTGGCACAACAAGTGAAAGTGAGACAGAGGTGTGAACTGTATTTCTTGCATATGCGCAAGTCATCTCTTTTATGTTTATAATTTATAGTGAAAAGTATATTGTATTGCAAAAGAGAGATTCCTATATTGGTTTGGTCTTTCTGGCTTAAACGTCTGTGCTTAGTCTGCAATGCATGAAGGGGAGAGAACAAGGAATTGCCACACTTCTTGAGGCCAAAAGCCCCATGGACATGCAGAAGATGAAGTATATGTATCATGTTGATTCTTTTCCTAGCCTTGTTTAGTTTGTCTGTATTTTGATTCTCTAGTAAGCAAGACACGACCTTCAAGATTGTATGACATGTGGTGTACAATATAGCCTTGTTTAGTTTGCATTCATTTTGATTCTCCAATAATCAAGACAAGACATTCAAGATTGTGTGAGATGGGATGTGAAATAGTTTTGAATGCAAAATTTTTAACGTAAGTTTTAAAAATAAACTGAAAATTAGGATCAGTCAGCCATTATGTCATTACTAAACCTGCTTCTCTTTCTGATCAAGGTGATACATCTATATATGAAGGGCTTGTTTGTCATGTAGGTTTATTCATGTACTTTATATCCACCCGCTTTCCAGAGATTCTTCAGAACCATGGCTAAGGAAATAGAAATCTATAATCACTCTCAAATGCTATGCTGCATAGCTATAGTCAATTTACTATGTCCTTGCGTGTCAATTCACTATGTCCTTGATAAGAAAATTTTCAATATTTTTTTTTAAAACTTAACATCTTTTGCATTTATTTTTGTGTTAACTCCATGACCATTTCTAATATTTTGGTCGATCTTTCAGGGTTGTGGCCACAGCAGTTACATACATGAGGCGTGTTTACACCAAGTATGTTTTTTTAACTTGTAAACTTCTAGTGTTAGTGTACGGAAAAGTTTGTCCCGAAATTGTTGGAACTTCCTGTCTTTCTTTTAGATTCGAGATAGCTTGTACTTTATGCAGTACTTGTGATGCTCGAAGTCAGTAATGCAAAGTTTGCTGCGGTATATTTCATAATTTGTTTTTTTCTTCATTTCGAAGTCAGGATTTATCATAGATGCAGATTTTTGTTTGATGAAATCTAATGTCCATATGAGGCGTGTTTACACCAAGTATGTGTTGCGAACTTGTAAACTTCTAGTGATAGTGTATGGAAAAGTTTGTCCCAAAATGGTTGGAACTTCCTGTCTTTCTTTTAGATTGGGGATAGCTAGTACTTTATGTAGTATTTGTGAGGCTTGATGTCAGTAATGCAAAGTTTGCTGCAGTATAGTTCATAACTTTTTTTATTTTTTTTATTTTGAAGTCAGGATTTATTATAGATGCTGATTTTTATTTTATTAAATCACTTGAGATTAATGCACGAGAAATATATTTCTAGAGGGCTTGAAGAATCCCTCTCATGGTTCTCTATTTATATATATGAAGGTTGATACAACAATAGGGAGATGAAACATCAAAAGCATTGTCCTAGACTGCTTGGACAGAGAACTAGGTACAGATGACATTCAACCCCTACCTTAAACGTAATGATTATATAGATTAACTAATTATTTCAACACTCTCCCTCAAGTTGGAGCATACAGATTGAATGTACTAATTTTGGAACAAATAAACTAAATCCAAGGTCCCCTTAATGACTTGGTCAGTGCATCTGCCAGTTGGTCATTTGATCCAAAAAAACTCAGTATATATTTCTTTTGTCAACAACTTTTCACGAAAGAATGACAATCAATTTCTATATAATTAGTTCTCTTGTGAAACACTAGATTTGATGCAATTTGGAGAGCAACTTTATTATCACAATACATCTTCATAGTCTAGATGTAACAAAAGTTAAGCTCTTAAAGGAATTGCTTCACCCATATAAGTTCACATGTTAGTGACGCCATTGCCCTGTATTCACCTTTCACTGTTGATCAAGCCACTACATTCTGTTTCTTACTTTCCATGAAACAATCTTTCCTCCAAGGAAAACACAATATCTAGTAGTAGACCGTCTGCCCATAAGCGAACTTGCCCAATGTGCGTCACAGTACCCAGAGACCTGAATGTTTCCTTTATCTTCATATAACAACCCTTGCTCGGGAGCCTTTTTGTTGTACCTTAGAATGTGAAGGATAACATTCCACTAGCAAACATATGGAGCTTGCATGAACTGACTAACCACTCCAACTGCAAAAGATAGATTCGGCCTTGTAATTTGAGATAAATTAGTTTTCCAACCAGCTTCGTATATCTCTCTAGATCGGAGAATAATTCACCTTCTTTTGTTGTTAATTTCTGATTTGGGTCCATAGGACTGTCTACCAGTCTACAATCAATCATGCTTGTATCTTGTAATATATCAAGAGCATATTTCCTTTGGGGGATTACAACTCCATCTTTTGACTGAGTTACTTCAATGCCTAAGAAGTATTTGAGGCTTTCAAGATCCTTGGTTTGAAAATGTCTACACAAGTATTCCTACAGTTGAAATATTCCAATAGTATTATTTCCTGTAATGATTATATCATCAACATATACTATTAAGTAAACACATTTTCTGAGAGATGTATGATAGTAAAAGATCAAATGATTTGCATCACTGCATTTTAGTCCAAAGTTTTTTACAATCCAATTGGTGAAGTGGCCAGTGACGAATTGCTTCATTGCAAAGAAGAGATGAATAATAGTCATCTTGGTCACGGGAGAGAAAGTGTCACAATAATCAAGGCCATAAACATGAGTGTACCCTTTTGCACTAACTAGACTTTGAGCCGATCAATTTCACCATCAGGGCCGACTTTAATTGCATACACCCATTGGCAATCAATTGCTTTTTTGCTCGGGGGAAGGGACATAAGCTCCAAAGTATTATTGTGGTCAAGAGCATGCATTTCTGCAATCATGGCTTGTCACCATCCAGGATGACCAAGTGCTTCATTCACATTTTTTGGTAAAACTACATGAGCATGCATTTCTGCAATCATGGCTTGTCACCATCCAGGATGACCAAGTGCTTCATTCACATCTTTTGGTAAAACTACATGAGATGCTAAGGATAAAAGAGAATAATAGGAAGGCCACAATCTATGATAACTAAGAAAATTATAAATGAGATGTGGATTTTGAGTGGAATGAGTACCTTTTCTGAGACCAATGGGCTAGCCTAAATCATCTTCATTAGGAGGTGTGGTATGAAGTGACAAGAGAGAAGAATTTGAAGTAGGGGGTTCCCCATTTTCTTGGAGAACTGGATTATCCATCGGGGTCCTGCGTCGAAAGAGATCAATATGTGGAGATGAGAGTTCAGGAGGGCTTTGATCAAGACTTGGATTGATAGAGACATTTGAAATATTAGACTTAGCCACTGGAATAGGAAGGACTTGTTGGAGGTTATGAACATCTTAAACAGATGAAGAGAGGTATGGAGTTTGTTCAAAGAGTGTAACATTGGCAGACATGTATTACTCCTTGGTTTCAACCAAGTGTCTATTTTTTCTTTCTGCTATACTATTTTGCTATGATGTATGAGGACAAGTGGATTGATATAATATATCATGTGAACTCAAGATTGCAGAAAAAGCGGATGAGAAATACTCTTTGGCATTGTCACTTCTTAAGATTTTGATTACTTGACTAAATTGATTCTTGATTTCATTCAAAAAGATGTAAAGATGGGTAACAATTCAGGGCGATCTTTCATAAGATAAACCTTAGTACATCTTGATTACTCATCAATAAAGGTAACAAAATACCTAAAACCAAACGAGGAGACGTGACTAGGTCCCTAGATATCAGAATGAATAATAGAGAATTTAAAATTACATTGATTGAGACCTTTTAGGAAAGGTAGATCTAACATGTTTTCCTAGTTGACATGACTCACATTCTAAGATTTGGTGACCACTAAGTTTAGGATACATTTTTTTTTTAAATTTTGACAAATGAGGATGACCAAGACAATCATGTAACATTTTAGGACTAGGAGCTGAAACACCTAAGTCAATTACCCATGAATTTTGACCTTCCATGGATTGAGAAATGCAAGTTGTTGATGTACTTGGAGATCCAGATGTTTGTGCCAAGCTGTAAGACTTTAATAGTAGATACTCTTGATATTCATCCTAGTAAACTTGGAATTAGTAGTTTCAGTCTTTAGAGATACTGGCTGTTTTGGAAGGAAAACCATGCAAGGAGTAGTAATTTTCTTGGGTGTGACCTATCCTTTTATAGTATGTGCACTAGGGATGTCTCCGACCTTCATGTCCCCCTTTTATAGTGCCACAACCTCCACTTCCTCGTGTGGCAAGAATGACAAATGGTTTCATTAGTTCATTAGCTTCCTAAGTTTGAGGCACCAGGACACGAAGAAGGCGTGCGGTCAAGGTCTCCATGAAAGGGACCTCATGACTGATCAGAAATTGATCTTTGATATAATTAAAGTCTAGATGTAAAACATGAAGGATCAACACTATATAATATTTGTCAATTTTCTTCTTCATTTACTCCAAAGATTCTACTTCCAAAAACATCCTCAGTTCTTCCACAACTGATTGGGCTTCAGTCATGAAGGATACTATATCATGGTCTGCCATTTTGAGGGATGCAAGCTTGTTTGCTGTATCATAGAGACATTGAATATCGTTGGCATAAATGATTTGACCGTTCTTCCAAAAGTTATGACATGTTTTGAAAGCTCTTAGGGACATAAGAAGTCTAGGCTCCACGGATTGTCACAATAGGGCACACAATTGGAAATTTGCTTGTTTCCACTGTTCAACTTTTTTAGCAGGCTCATGGTTTTCATCTTGCTCAAGGTGGTCATAATGTCCTTGACCAAGGAACCACATTTTGACCGTAGTAGACCAAGATAGATAATTTTTCCTATTTAGTTTTTCGGAAGTAATTGAGGGACTTCCAGAGAATGAAATAACACTTCTAGTTGCCATCTTTGATCAAGGGAAAAAGGAAACCCTAGGTGACTTCCACAAGGGTGGCTTTTCACTGAAATAAAGTTGAGGGTCAGAACATAGAGAGCGGGTATGACAACAACTATGGAGGTGACAGTGTCATTCCAATGAGTGGATGACGGCACGAGGAAAACACGTGCCTGGTTGCAGTGTACAAAGATGATGCACGTGGAGGAGAACTAGCCTTCGGCCCTAACGGGGTTTGTCATTGCCTGGAGAAGCTATCCAAATTCTGTTGTCGTCAGACAAAATTGCAGTGGCAGAAGGTGGCAGACGACGTTGACGACATGACAAAGAACAATGGTTGATAGTGTTGAATAGTTTCCAATTGTAGTGGAGAACTGCAGACAGAGGTGGACAACAACAAAACGGTGCCAGACAATGGCAGACAACAAATGACGTTGAACAGTTACGAAAAACAAAGAGTATTGTCGGCAGATAAGATGAGACAGAAACAACGCCACTGTCTCAGCCTCGTTTCATCAACCACAATTTCCATCATGTCCAGCCTCCCTTCCACGACGTTCAATGTTCAATCCATTCTTCCCTCCATCACGCCTTTCACTCCTCTCAACAAGATTCGGCAGGTCGGACCAATTGTTAGGTTCCTGAGTAGGAAACCTAATTAATCACGATCACAGTAGGCAAAAGAGATAATGAAAGAATGATTTCTCTTATTAATGGTAATAGAATTCTGTAAACAAAGGATAGTTGGGAGCATAACCTCCCTTACAAAACAAGGATAGATGGGGAGAATAACCTCCCTCATAGGACTGTAGTTGCCGGTCAACAAACTCAATAATCAAAACATAACCCTAACAATTGCATCTAGCTTTATTTATATTAAATATTTTCCTAGAATATAGCTCTATTTACTATAATTATCTTATACTGAATATTTCCCTAGAATATAGCTCTATTTAGTTGGGAGCATAACCTCCCTTACAAAACAAGGATAGATGGGAGCATAACCTCTCTCACAGGACTGTAGTCGCTTGTCAACAAACTCAATAATCAAAACATAACCCTAACAATAGCATCAACTTTATTTATATTAAATATTTCCCTAGAATATAGCTCTATTTACTATAATTATCTTATATTGAATATTTTCCTAGAATATAGCTCTATTTATTATAATTATCTTATACTGAATATTTTCCTAGAATATATCTTTATTTAATATAAATATTTCCCTAGAATATATTTCTCTAGAATATCGCCCTAACTATACTAAATATTTCCCGCCTATCCTAACTGCTTCAACCGATCGGCTCAAGTTCTTCACTGCTTTCCACCGTTCTGCTCGAGCTCTCACCGCCTTCAACCGTTCGGCTCGACTCCTCACCGCCTACCCCCTTTCGGCTCGGCTCCTCATCGCCTACCCCCTTTCGGCTTGACCTCTCCCCGTGTTACGTATCCGAGTAGGAGACGTAACGAAATCACCCTCTCACACACTCACAACAAGCAAAAGAATAATGAAAGAATGGAATTGAACGAATGAATGTCTTTTATTGATGGTAATATCTGAATAAACAAAAGTAAACAATAATTGGGAGCATAACCTCCATCAATTATTTGGGAGCATAACCTCCCTCACAAGACAATAAGATCTATCACAAAACTCAATAATCAAAAGCATACCTTTAAGCCTAGACTCTCCCTTTATTTATATTAATTGTTTCCTAAATAAAATATTTCCCTAGAATAAAATCTTTCCCTAGAATAAAATATGAATATTGTTCTAAATAAAATATTTTCCTAGAATAAAATCTTTCCCTAGAATATAATATGAATATTGTTCTAAATAAAATATTTCCCTAAGATATATTTTTATTTTTTATAATTATTTCTAAATATTTTCCGCTTATCCTAAATGTTGTCCAAGTTAGGATAGTCACTCTTCAACCGATCGAGTCTAGCTCCAGTTTGGCTTTGCTTCCCCTGCACCTTACTGTTCGGCTCCAGCTCTTCACCACCTTCCACCGTTTGGCCTGACCTTCCCATGCCTTCCACTGTTCGGCTTGATTCCCCCCTACCTCCTACCGTTTGGCTCCCGCTCTTCACCACCTTCCACCGCTCTGCTAGACCTCTCCACGCCTTCCATCGTTCGGCTACCGTTCGGCCTTTTCGGTCAATACCGTTCGGCCTCACTTCCCTCCTACCTTTCTTCTCCTTCTCATATACTTTCCAAACCTTATTATTACCCCTACCTTATACTGGATACGAACTTGAGATTAAAACTCTAGAGGGCTTGAAGAACCCCTCTCATGGTTTTCTATTTATATATATATATATATATATATATATGAAGGTTAATATAATAGGGAGATGAAACATCAAAAGCACTGTCCTAGACTGCTTGAACTAGGTATAGAGGTTATCTAACACTCAAACCCCTACCTTAGACGTAATGATTACATAGATTTACTAATTATTTCAACAAGATGTAATGCCCATACCAGTACTACTATTTAGGTTAGTGTTATGCAATTATGGTAGAGAAACCCATAACCCTCTTATTCTGGGATATGTGTTGTCTTCAACTGCCACATCAATTGCCGTATAATTTATGGTGAAGTTTCCTAGATAGGCCACTAACTTTTGGATTTAACCATGCGCATAATTTTTTTTCCAAATGTAACTATAAGCAGACAGCTGCTGTGCATGTCATTTTTCAAATTGGACAAGTAACAAGTTGACCCTTATTATAGAAATAGAAAATTCATCTCTAATATTCAATTCATTTTTATAAAACACGGGGAATGGGCAGAAGAGAAAAATAAAATAGTAAGTGATCCCATCTTGTGCCCTTTTTATCAAATTTGTTTTGTTTATTGGTTGTTTGCTGCTAACTTGAATTGCATGCTTTTTACTGAAAAAACATTGTTTTTAGCACTTGTTAACTTGTCATTGCGGATTCTAATATTTTTTATTTTCTTAGTAGATTTCAAATTTATGTGCCTGTATTGTGAAGGCTGTTTTCTTATTCATAATGTATCTTCTTCTGATCCTGAAAGTAGTACTATGTGCTTAATACCCCTCACTAAGTGTCAACTATCGACAATCTTCACTTTTTTTCATTTTAAGGAAGAGTATGACAGAATATGATCCACGCTTGGTAGCTCCAACATGCTTGTACCTGGCATCAAAAGCAGAAGAAAGCACAGTGCAAGCTCGGCTTCTTGTATTTTACATTAAAAAACTATGTAAAATGTTAACCTATAATTTTATTTTTCTTCATGTTGACTTTTGAAAGTAAAGTGAGTAATTTGTTTTCGAAGTTCTCTTGATACTAGATTGCCTTTCTATGCTGAAACGACATATTTTGTATGCAGATGCTGATGAGAAGTATAGATATGAAATCAAGGACATACTTGAAATGGAAATGAAGGTTTTAGAAGCTCTTAATTATTACCTGGTTGTATACCACCCATACCGTTCACTATCTCCGTAAGTGTTTGATAATTATTGTTTGTTCAAATTTTGCACACCGGAGTGTGGAAATTATGAAAAACCAATTTTATTTGTTTATACTTTTCTGGCCAGAAAGCTTGCAATTTTAAGTATGTTGTCCACACAGCTTTCACTTATCTAATCACAGAAAATAGAAATTAAAGACAGAATAAAAACTGAATCACCTAGTTAGGAAACAAAATTTTTTTTTCTTTCTAGATGACAGAATAACCTAATATAAACTAAATATGGAAATAATATATACGGAATAATTTCATGAACATGTCACTAAAAAAATGATCTACATGCGTTCATTACTCCTTTTGTTCTCAGTCTTCACATTTCCCAACTGACAGCAAGTCAAACAGATACCAAGAATGAACATTTTGGCAAATTGAGTATTGTCAAGTTAAAAATTGGTGACAAAAGAACTGGTTCAACAGTCGTGTCATTTAGATTATATTCATTTCTGATTTCTCATTATCATTATATTGATAATTCTCCAGGTTGCTTCAGGATGCAGGTTTGAATGATCTGAACATGACTCAGTTAACTTGGTAAGAGTCCTTCCTGTTGAACAGATGAGATCGGTTTCTAAAGAGGTTTTCCTTTCTTCTGTTCTTATTTTACATTTCCCATCTTATCCCCTTGTGCCGCCTTTATCGGCTCTGCTTTTACTGTTTGGCCTAACATTCCTTTAAATGAAAACAATTGGGCTCTTGCACTAGAATTTCCCTTATTGGAAGGAAATAATGATGAAATTGGCTTAGTTGGAGGACCTGGAACCAACACCATCTCTTCACTTCCTTCATCTCTGGACAAATTGTTTTCTTTAAAGGAAAAAGAGGACAAAACACAGCATATGTTATTGTGTTTGTTGCCTTTGTAAGTTTGTACGCAGAGGGAGGTGACACTCTTAATTGCCCTTATTTGAGGTTTTAGAACCTCTCAATATTCCAGATGCACATCTCTTTTATACCCAAGCATTAGCATATTCACTGACATGTTACATAACTAAACTAAGTGCTTCATGTTGATTTATCTATCATATTATATGAACTGTTATTTCTTTGCGTATAAATGATGACATTTTCTTAAATAAGGCAGAAATATTTTTGCTAGTATCATCCCTTTTTGCCAAAATTTTCTCAAATTCTGTACACTAATTAAATTTAACTGGAGTGACTCTGATAAATATATTTCTTTTATATATGTTTTTAGATATTAGAGAAAGAATTGAGAGGCTTTGGATTATTAAATAATATCAAAATCTCAATTCTGTATGTTCTAGGGAATGATTTGTCCTTGAGATACCAATGTCCAGAGATGAAACAGTTGCTGTGGCATGTATATGTTTTTCTTTATTTTTGTTAGTTATTTTTCATTGCACTATGAAGTGCATTGACTCTATATAGTATGAATGAGTTTTAGTTTGAAATGCAAAATCATATGCAAACAACAGAAACCACTGTACAATATTTTGCTAAAAACAACCTTTCTATTTATGCTACTTGAAATGCAAGATGTTTCGGTATTTGATGCCTTCTAGCACTAGATTTATTCTTTTTTTTTGTCAAGAGCTTCAAAACTTAGATTAATTACTTGTTTTCCATTTAATGGTTATGGTCACTATTATAACTACAATAGAGGATGGGTCGGTGTTTCTCACATGTCTAATTATATAGGACAACTGTTTTTCATTTGAAGACAATTCAATATCAGTCAAAAAGTTTTATGAGAATTGTTCTCTTTATTGTTGTAGCTTTGTTAGAGTTTTCTACCATTTGCTTTTGAATGTTAAGTAGATCCTTCAAGAAAGTTGCTTCAGTGCTGATAGCTAAATCTGTTTATCCAGAAACATCGTTTATTTTCATATCACTATTAAGCCTGCTTTCTATTGAGCTAGCAGCTATCTTGCTAACGCTGTTGAAATTACAGTTTCTATCTATTATTTTATTAATAGTTTTTTTGTTGGATTAAATTTCCAAAGAAAAAAAATAATGAAGTTCATACTGGCAGGGGCCTTGTAAATGACACATACAAGATGGACCTAATTCTTGTACATCCTCCGCATTTGATTGCTTTAGCTTGCATATACATTGCTAGTGTACTTAGGGACAAAGACACCACTGCTTGGTTTGAAGAACTTCGTGTTGACATGAACGTGGTGAGTGTTCTGCTGTTTTTTCTAAGCACTTATTTGTTGCATTCATGCTGAAGTGTCTTAATCATCTCTTTTTCGTTTTCTCTTTTTCGTTTTCTATTTTTTGTTTACTTTATTTACAAGACTCTTGTTAAATTTGACAATAATCTTAAATTGTGCAACTTAACTTTTGAATGTGGATAGCCTGCTATGACTGCTGTGGAAGTTGGGGTACCCATTATAGGATCAATTGGACAATCCTAAAATGACAAAAATAGTTGCAAAAATTTTTCACGATTTGACTTTATTGCAAATGTGTTCGCTAATTCAACAAGAATACACCAGTGGTTTAATTCCATTTTATATCCAAAATGGAAAAAGGAAAGGAGTTGCTTAATTCCACAATGTGAAATACACTCAAAATACCTCGTACCTAATAGTGGTATCTCAATAATTTCTGAAATATTTTACTCAAAGGCACCTACCTCACTGCTAGAAGCTCTAGTGTAATACATCTCTCATTCTCCGAAGACCAACATTAAATCAGATCTGATGCCTGGATGGTGTCTTGCAAAGTTACATGAAAAGCCTTTGTGCTTACTGTCCCTCGGTGAAACCCTTGGCTTGCTTTAAAGCCAAATAGTCTCATATTATTTGTTTTACACAACAGTGAATAAGAGATTAACTTCTGAAATCTGGCCTTTCAAGAATCCAATAATTTGGCTGCCTATTCAACAATACAAAACACATTGTAATTCTGGCATTTATACTTAAAATCTCTTCCACATAAAAGAGCAAGTTATTGTTGTATGGATAATATTAGGAAAGTAGTGCTGTACCAGTGTCAGGCAATGCTTCTACATGGACGATCAGGTGGTTGAGTTGGTTTCAACGGATGTTCTACAATGGTGTTATTACATTATGGTCAGGCTTGTTGCAAAAACTTGAATCCCATCCTTTTATGATGACCCAGAAGGAGTCCTATTCAAACTCACGCAGCACAACTTTAATAATGACTATCTCGCTGACTTTGAGCATTTAGCAAGTAATTGTTTGGTTATCTTTGATGTTTCAATTTTTGATTCTCAACTATAAGTTTGCTGTGAAGTCCAAGCCCACTAGTCAATATCCTTTTCGTAGGCGATGACTTTGGCAAAACACTTGGAGGATAAGATTAATGATCATCGTCGTCCCTTTTGCAAGAGCACCCATATATTAACCTCTCCACCTACACCATTGGCAGTCCCTCCTCCTTTTGCTCCTGATGTTCTTTTAAGCATTTATCTTGTAAGGAGTTTACCTCATTGAGAACAAGGATTGTGTTAGGAAGTGGAGAGTGTATGAGAGGAGGAGGAAGAATTAATATCCTAACTAGCAGTTAGGAATGGCGGGAAGAGGGAATTGTATAAATAGGACTTTGTGTATTGTTTTAGTGGCTTTTTGGCAGTTAGTTGTATAGACAAGAACCTTTGGTCCTATGGGGAGATTAGGCTCCCATTGATTGCTTGTACATTGAACCATACCATTTCGAAGAACAGAAACCCATTTTTTGCTCTCTTTTGTGTTTGGTGAGTGTGTGAGTTTCTTTCTGGTTTGGTTTCTTACCCAGAAACCTAACAATTTGGTTCGACCTGCCAGATCCAAATTGGGAGAATGGACGACCAATTGAACGTCGTGTCGGGACAGTTGGAGGCAATGGAGATAACTGTTGATGGGATGAAGGCGGAGACGACAACATTGTGTGAAGACTCTGCCGCAATGCGCCAAGACTTGCAAGAAATCATGAAGATGTTGTGGGGACGAACTCGCAACAATGAGGGACAATCGGACGGAAGCCAAGTATCCGTCAATAAAAACCAGAGAAGGCGCAAAGAAGAAGTTGGAGGGAGAGAGGGCGAACGCCATGAAGGGCAACCCAATTGGAGAAATAGGGTCGAATTGGCCGTCTTCGAGGGTCTGGATCTGTTGAACTGGATTAACAGGGTACAAAAGTTTTTCGAGTTGCAAGGGGTGGCCGAGGATGAGAAAGTGTGCCTGGCTTACATTAGTATGGAGGGTAGCGTGGGCTACTGGTTCAAATTCTGGAAGGAAAAGGCCAAGAATCATTCTTGGGAAGGCTTGAAGGGGGCAATGATAGTGAGATTTGGAGGAAGAAATAGGGGAACCATTTTCGAAAGGTTGGCGACCATTAAGCAGGAGGGAGTTGTGGAGGAATACATCCAAGATTTCGAAATCCTGGTGGGTCAGACCAAAGGACTGTCGGAAGAACAGATGTTAGGCTATTTTCTCACTGGACTTGAGAGAATATATGAAATCAGGTCAGACCCCACGATCCTCAAGAATTAATGGTGGCGATGAGGATCGCAAGGGATGTTGAGGAGGGAGGTTCACGACGGTGCGAGGGCTGGGAGCTGGAATATAATCAAGAATCAACCTTCTTGAAGGCGTGCGATGTGTGCGGTGACGTGAAGTGAGCCCGGTCGCAATAATCAGAGTCGACCATGGGTCTCTGAGAGTGTGGAATCGGTGAAAAGAGAGGGAAACACGATTAGCAGTGTGGCGAAAGTGGGGAATGCTGCGGGAAGTGATAACAGGGGAAGAAGCGTGAGAAATCTGCCTATCCAAAATTTTTGAAAAGAAAAGAGGAGGGGCGCTGTTTTAGGTGTGGCAGACCGTTCAGTCCCGACCACCATTGCCTGGAGCGGAGTTTGAGGGTGGTCATTCTAGCAAAGGAGGAAGTGGAAGAAATACTGACAGAAGTAGACCAGAAGCAAATGGAATTATCTGCTTTGTCAGCTAGAGACCTTACTCAACCAAAGCCTATGAACTTGCAGGGGAAGATTGGGGAGCGAAAGGTGTTTCTATTCGACAGTGGTGCAAGCCACAATTTTATTAGCAGAAGATTAGTAGAAGAGCTGGCATTAACCATTAAAGATACACCACCTTACCAAGTGAGTCTGGGTGATGGGCAGAGCAAAAAGACCCGGGGATGCCTTGAGGAGGTCTTGATCACCTTAGGGGAAACCAAAGTAGAGGAGAAGTTTCATATGTTCGAGTGCGGAGGAGTGGACATAATCCTAGGGGTGGAATGGTTGGCCAAGCTGGGAGAAGTAGTTCTTAATTGGGGCGAGATGACGATGATGTACAATCAAGGAGGGAAGAAGGTGATTATTAGGGGGATCCTACATTGGCTAGGAGGCTGGTGGAACCCAAGGCTTTACTAAAGCTGGCAGAAGTAGAGGCTTGGACGCTGATGTGGGACTTGGGGCAGATAGGAATGGAAGCAGATGTAGAGCAGTACCAAGGGCTAACAGGGAAACAAGAGGAGGAATTAGGGCGGATTCTGAAGTTATATTCAAGGGTTTTTCAGAAGAAAAAGGGGCTACCTCCAGACAGTGGAATGGTGCATTAGATACCTCTTAAGGATGGGGTTGATCCAGTGCATGAGCGTCCTTATAGATACCCGCATCTGATGAAGGGGGAGATTGAGAGACAAGTGACTGAAATGTTGAAGGTAGGGATTATCAGACCTAGCACCAACCCATATTCAAGCCCAGTCATCTTGGTCAAGAAAAGAGATGGCAGTTGGCGTTTTTGTGTGAATTATAGGGCCTTGAACCGCGCCACTATATCGCATAAATTCCCAATTCCTGTGATAGAAGTGTTGTTGGATGAATTAAGAGGAGTTAAATATTTTTCAAAGGTGGATTTGAAGGTACGGTACCACCAAATTCGGATGCTATTGTGAGGGTTATGTTTTGATTATTGAGTTTGTTGAATCTGATAGCAAGTTCATTGCTTTGGCTAAATGGTCCTATAGTACCTTCGTCCACTTTGGCACTGGTTTTTCCTCAATTGAGGTTACAAATGGCAAACCGCTTCCTTCTATTTACATTTTGAGTTCTCTCAATTGGAGGCTGTGGTCTCCTTCCTGTTTATACAGTACTCTATTCATACTTTGCTCCAACCATGTCTTTCAAAGGCACAAGCTGCTATGAAACTTTTTACTGACAGCAAATGTTGTGACGGGAGTTACAATGTCAGTAATTGGGTTTAATGTTAAACTATGCCCCTATTGCTAACTCTCAGTCACAGGCTCCCATCATAGGCTTTTTGATAGGTATATTAGATTATTAAAAATATTATATATCTTATTTTTATATTTTATTTTTAGTTAATATGTTATTATTCTTTATTTATATTTTAAGCTTAGTCTATATTTTTTCTATTATAAATAAAGTACTCTATGTGTATATTTAATACAAGAGAGATTAATTCCATACATAATTTTCATTATATTCAATAGCTTTTTGGTCTTTGTTCAATTTGGATCTTGCCCCATAAGACATCGCCTGGGGAAATTGGGATGATATTTGTTCTGCCCATCACCTTGAGGACAAGGTACTTCCACTGTGTTGAGAATCGTTAGAAGTGCTTATCTTACAAATATGCATATTATTGCTAGATTCCATTTTCTGTTTCCAAATCAGTGCAACTTAAGATGCCTGGTGTTTGATAGAGCTCCAAAGTGCATTAGCCATTTGTGGTGCCCCATCAGTTTAAAATCACTTTCATGCTAATGTTCTGAACATGCACTATCCTAGAATTCTACTCATTTCAGTGATAAAGAAAAATAGCTATTTAAGTGATTGTTTATGTTCTTTGGCAGGTCAAAAATATATCAATGGAGATACTTGATTTTTATGAGAGCCATAGAATGTTCACTGAGGAAAGAATTAATGCTGCTCTCCAGAAGTTGACCTTGAGACCCTAAAAGCTTACCAGTCAATGCTGAATTCGTGGAATGATTTTGACATGTTTTGCAGTAGTAGAACGCTTTCAAAATATATCCAATAGTAAGGGCACATAATATGGGGGTTAATTCAAAGGGAGTGATGTAAAGGGAATATTTCTTGGTTTTTTAGTTTTATCTATTTACTGTGTCATAAGTTGATTGATCTAAGCAACCTATAATTTTATATTATTTTTCTTATATAACATTTTGTTCCATTAAATAGGAATACTTTAATTTTTGGCTCTATTTAGATTATGGTTCTTGTATTTTTCCTTTTTGTTTTGAATCATGGTGCTAGTTTTTTTTTGGGGTTTAGTGTAATGGTGACTACATGCACGTGATAAAAAAAGATGTTAACTAAATTGCGTCACATCCATCAGTAATGTTATTATATATTTAGAAGGACAATTAAAAAAACATATTTTTTAATTTTAAAATAAAGTAATATATTTGAAAGAAATAATCATAAAATAATATATACTTAACCATCCTCACTAATTATTCAATGCATTTCCATTTAGGAGATCATGAATTTTCATTACTGTCTAACTAGAATGGAAGTTAAATATATTAATAATAGATATTTTAAAATTCTTCTACTTGAGGGTCAGAAGTATTTTTCTTAGTTAAATTGACCTAATGTCACCTTTTTCGTTTATTTTCCATTCACGAAAGAAAAGTATATTTTTCTCTATTCTCAAAATACTTTTTTATACATTTGTAAACTCAACTAATTCATTTTCTCATGAAGTTGAATCCTTCAATTGTTTAAAAGAAATTAAAAAAGTAAACCAATTAAAACTAGTAAAATTAATTGGTTTGGAATTTATTTTTTCTTTGGTTAGAACCGAGGAAGGAGATTTAAAGATTAAATGATGAAAAATAAATTAATTTAACATTTAAACCTATACTTTTCTTTTTGCATTTCATAAATATTAACTTTTCTACTTTATTTTTAAATTGTGAAAAACTCTTGCATAATTGTGAGAACAGAAAATCAGGCATTAAAGTTAAAAAATGTTTTAAAATAATGAGATCAAATATTTTAATGTTAAAATAATTCAATAATATACATAGAATTTCATAAACAAATTTCATTATTTAAAACACTCATCATTTCTCTAAAATTCATTTTCTAATTTCTCTCTCCTTTCTCTCTAAGAGTTCCAATTTCTGAGACATTTGTTTAATAATCAGTTTAGGTGATCACGACAGTGAACTCTTTACTTTTGGCTGAGTAATTTTTCAAATAGAGTTAAGTCACTTTTATGCTCCTTTTTCTTTAGTTTTTGGTTTAAGACACATACTAAAGGGGAATCTCACACATGTGTCATTCACCCTTTCTTGCTAGTTCCTTGTTGATCAATGGTTCTAAGAACCTACCCTGATCATAATTCTTTGGTCTGTAGGTACTTTTAGAGTTCTCTAAGCTAAAGTAGGAGTAATGTGCTTCATAGAACCGTTGTAGCTTTCCAAAAGGTAAGAGAAGCTAATTTTGTCTTTAAATTTGTTCTAGAAACTCTGAGTTCATGTTCATGGTTTATATGTAATGAAATTTATGTTTAATATGATAGTCATTTATGATATGTACTAGTTTTGGTTATTGGATGATCTATTGATGAAAATTTTGTATTTGTATGATAATATGCTTGTTGATCCATGGTTGTTCTTGATAATGTTGGTAGGAAAGGCTTGTGTTTGTTTGTACTCATTTAGATCATGTGAGGTTATTGTTTTGGCATATACTTCAGTGAGAAAAGTGCTATTGTTTTGAGGTTAGTGAGTAGGTAGAGCTTAGGGTTGGTTTTTGTGTCTAAAAGGGGATTTTAACAAGTGAAATTTTGAAATAATAGTTGAATGGGAAAAACTAAGGTTTGAGGTCTGTTTTGTGGTTATTTTAAACTTGTATAGGTCTTGAGTTAAGCAAAATCTGAGGTGAAATTGGTTAAGGGTTGATATGCTGAGTTTTGTGATGTTTTATGTTCATTTTTAGAGGTTTTAACTAGTGAAAACCTAAAGTATAAAGTATATGATGAAAATGAGGGTTTGTGGTATGTTTTTGGGTCAATTTTGATTTGTTCAGATCTTTAGTTTGCAAAGTTCTGCATTAGAAGGTGTAGAATTGAGTTTAGGTACCTTTAAGCTGTTGAGTTGGTTTACTAGATCTAGTTTCTAATCTAATGTGCAATATGGTACTCCATTTTCATATATAAAGATGTCTTTGTATCAATCCTAGTGATAAAGAACCCATATTGGTCAATTAGATAGGTCCAAGGTGCACTAAGACTTGAAAAATAGGTTGTTGTTTTCTGGTATGACGTTGAGGGGTCCTGTGTGGTTCAATGCTGTCAAACTCGAGAGCCCTTAGGCGTCATGATGCTGAGCGCTCTCTTTGGCCGCTGAACGGTGCAAAACCCGAGAACAATTACTTTCGCTAGTGTTGAGCCACACTTTTCCAGTGGCATTGACACTAAGCGCCCTATTTGTTGTTTTGGTTTTGGTTTTCTTTTCTTTTTATCCTTGTCGAGTTTAAGTTGTCTTCATGCTTTAATTGTTACTATGAAGTATGAATTTATTTATAATATGAATTGGAAACAAGGTTATGTCTATGATTATGTATGATATATGATGATGATGAATATGTTGTTGATCATGTGCATATTAGATGGACATAATTCCATGACTCTCGTGGAGAGATTTCATGGTAGTGCCCTGCAGTTTAGAAGCTCAATTTTAGGGGTTATCCTAACCTCCAATAATAATTCCATCTCAAGTAGAGAATGAGATTATATATGGTGAGGAATAATAGGAGGTCCTAGTCTAGGTGCTCTCCATCATGGCTTAAGGTGCGTAACAGACTAACCTTGTGTATGTGGTAGGGTGAAACCCATTGACAATGACTCTACAAAGTAGTATAGGCCAACATGACCCACCATAGCGCGACATCAATACCTGTATCCCGATTTGTCAAGTCTAGAATATGTATATATATACTTAGGTTCTTGTTTGATTTTAAAGTGAAATCTGTTGTATGCTGAATTATAGTTGCATGATTTGATTCTTTTACAATATTAGTTTACCTTTGCTGTTTTTTGTCGCTTTGTATGTTTGTTTTCTCTTTTGTAATGATCACCTAAATGGTGTGAGGTTAGGAGAATGTCAAGGGTGACCAAGTGCTAGGAAATGGTGGAACTAAGGCATAAAATAGGAAATATGGTTTCAATATTCTCTTTTTAGTGTAAAGACCCTGTTATGTTTTTGGTTAAGTGTAATAATTTGGGATGTTACACAATATAGAATAATGGTCAAGAAGTTATTTTTTTAGATTATGTAATATAATGTTTTTTAGATTATGCAATATAGAATAATATTATAAACTTTAGAAGTATTATATTTATAATTTTTTAAACAATACAATTTAAAATAGATTTCTAAATTTAAAAGTATCTTTCAGATTATAAAATTAAAAATTTATGATTTTTCATAAAAAAAACACTAAGAATATATAATCTTATACAAAAGTAACTTCCAAAATACATAATTTAGTAGTATTTTTTTATATAAAAATACTTTTAAATTCTACAGTCCTCGAGTATTTTTCCATGACATCTGCCATTGTATCCTTGCATTTTCCTTAGAGATCTCCAATTATTCGGCCACGTTATTTGAAGTAATTGGACAATTTAATAGTTCTAAGTCAATGAGTATAATCTATGCTTGTTATTTTATGTTTGAAGTGACTAAGTGGAGCTATTTTATGTTAAAAATGTAACGTATAAACTTTCTCAAATTTGATATTTTCTTTTTTAGCTTTAAATAAATTGATTGTTTTATCCTAATTAAAAAAAATATTTTACAGTTTAAATATAAAGTAATACAATTTTTAAGTATTACTAATTACTTTTTTCAGTTTTACAATTCTAATTATTTCCCATGTTCATTCAAATATAAAATCTTTTTAAAAATTAAATTGAATCTGCTGGTAATTCTAAACACAGCCAAACTAAATTAATTCTCAACATAAAGCATTGTGTAGGCTATTCGGCAATTTTTCATGATCTTAAAAACAACGTAAAAATAAAATACAAAGCGCTTTACCATAATTTTGAACGTGAATATGTGGACAGATGACAATTTTAGCAATGACTTGAATGTTTTTTATGGTTGGAATAAGATCTTTGCTACTAAGAGAGGAGAGATCCATTTATAAAAAAATTTTTGACACTCAAGTCAATAAGACAGTTTAGGATCTATGAGTATAAGATATCACATGAATATTTCTTATGGTATACTAGTTGTATTTATAGAATCCACATGAGTCGTAGACCTATGTTATCATTAGAATATTACATATATTAAGTATATAATGAAAGAGTAATTAATAATAATAGAACGATACCTCATCATAAATAATAACCATAATACAAAACTACTAAGATTAGTTATGATATGTGGATATTGACCTAATAGACATATGTTTGAGCTTTTTCAGAGTGAAGAGACTTAATGACCTTGTTAGGACATGCTCTTTAGTATGTCTATTCGGTTGGGTAGGAACATAATATCCCCAATATCAGGTTTGATTTGATATACATAGTCGTGTCTGATCTCTTGGTCGGGCCGTGGTCGACTTGTATAGTTTGCAGGTGGATTGGCTCTCCGATTGAGCTTCACAGGTAGATTGGCCATTCAGCCGAGTTCATATGTGGATTAGCCCTCCGCCCTAGCTTCGTAGGTAGGTTGGTCATTTGGTCGAGCTCGTATATGGATTGGCCCTCCAATCGAGCTTCACAGATAAATTAGCCATTCTACCGAGCTCGTATATGGATTGACCCTCCAACCGACCATGTTCGAAATTTGTTGTGTAAGAATAGTCCTTCTGACTTGTGTTGTAGACTTTAGGAAGGCTTTATGCTAGGCTTTTGGCTTGGGCAGACTCTATTTAGGTGTTGTCGACTTTAGGCAGGCTTTGCTTAGTGCTGTTGACTTTAGGAAGACTTTTCTTAGATGCTGCTAACTTTAGGCAAGCATCGTTTTGATGCTATCAAAGGCGGGCTTTGCTTTGATGCAGTCGACTTTAGGCAGAATTCGCTTTGATGCGGCTGACTTTAGGCGGGCTTCGTTTTTTGTGCGGCCGACTTTAGGCGGGATTCGTTTTTTATGCGATCGACTTTAGGTTGGTTTTGTTG